CTCGCTCTCTCTCTCTCTCTCTCTCTCTCTCAGGGTAGATCAGCAGCACCTGTAGCTAGTTTGTGAGAGCGTGTCTGAAGAGTATATTGGGGTTTGCACGGAGAGACACACTTCTCCTCTGCTCCAGACTGAACTTTGAGCTTGTTTCTCGGTTTTAGCAGGAACTGTTAAGGGATCTTGTTCCAGTTTGAGATTGAGCAAAAGGTATTGTGGCTCTTCTGTTCTGTGTGATTCTAAACACTAGAAATCAGTGTTTCCCAACCACTGTGCAGTGGAAAATTATCAAAACTTTCCATCTCCACTACATTTCGTTATTATTATTATTTTAAATCAATGCTATTGGTCACCTTTATGTCTGTTTGTGGGTTTTACAAATATTTAACCAGTGAAAAGCATTCAAAAAAGCTTGTGACTAAACCTCTTAATGCCATTGGATCCTCAAACTTTCATTAAACCTCAAAACTCCACCCGCTTCCATTCAGAATAAACGGTCTGGAAACTGATGTTTGAATAAGTACAGCGTATACCTATAAAGGCTAATGTTTTTTGTGTTTGAAGAGCAGAGAAGAGTCTTAGTATTTGTCTAGGTGTAGCTAATATACGGTTTTATATATATCCTGTGCATTGCGCTTCATGTTTTATATCATGAGATTTTGCCCAAATGTATTCAACAACAAAAAAAAAACTGAGCGCCCATATTGAGTGCAATAAACTTTATAACCTGTGAGTTGATGAAAATGTATTGCGATGCACTCACTTCATCAGATGCGGCTGTTAATGACGGACAAAACGCAGATCTCTGTCATTCACTGGTCAAAAACCTTGCAACTACATTTAAACTTGATTTTCATAATATGTTAATATTATAATGGCACATGCAAGTGTCTGATCATATATATAAAGCCACAATACCAACTCTGACGACGCTATTTAATTATTTAAAAAATATATTTATTTATTTACATTTCCTGAAAGTGGTAGTGGTTTTGGACATACAAGGTTTCCGCCCGACAGTTTTATCATCACCAACAACATAAGGCTAACTGTGTGACCTTGTGTTCATACCTGACTTAAGCTCAAGTTTCACATTAACGGTGACATATCATGAAAATCTGATTTTTCCAGGTTGTAAGTGCTATAATCAGGTCCCCGGTGCATCTACCAACCAAGGAAACGTGAAAAAGATTAACCCAGTAACCGTTTTGGTAAGCCTTTTTCTGCAAGTGTGTGAGAAAACGAGCATCTGATTTCGCTCCCTTGGTGACGTGGCAAAGGGATCTCATTATTATATTACCGCCCCTTAATCTGTAAGTTTACACCCACGGCACCGTTATTGTGTTTTCGCAAGCGACAACGGTGTAGCAGCTCTAATGCTGGGTACAAATAAAGTGAACCTGAACCTATGGTTTAAAATGCATGATTTCAGCGCAATAAACATGATAATCAGAACCAAAGCAGATGTTTTTAGCAGGTCCAGCTGTAATGGCGCAGCTCTATTCTGGAAAAGGGGGCGGGGAGCAGCAGCTCATTTGCATTTAAAGA